AGAGCTTTACAAAGATTTTAAGTGGAAAAAGAACCGAAAATTCAGAAATCCAGATGCTCGAGCAATTGACTCTTGGATTTTGTCTATATATTGATGCGTCTATGGTACCCATGATTTACCATGTTTGTCCTTCCGCTCCAACTTAGTCGCTCCAGATGCTGAATGTCGCATCGATAAATTACTCGTCTTCGATGCTGGGCCACTTCCTGGGTCACATCCTGTCATTGATGGACGTCTCGCAACAACTGTTGAGTAGTACTCCTAAAGAAATCATTCATGTCAATATGAGATATGAATCATTCAATTGCTTCTGATCGAGCACAAATGGCAGAACTTAAATTTTGAGAAAAGAGAGGAAAGGAAGCGTGGAACAATTTTTTTGAGGCTTAAGCTACATTAAGTGCGCTTTATTTCGTGTAGATTATTATAAAGACGAGATAATTCCACCTTTCTGAAACACAAATTGGTCACTCAAGCATTCTGAAATAAAAGTAAATTATTTTTTTACAAAATCTTTTACCAGAAACGATTCAAAAATTTTTTTGAATTTTTAGAAGCCTTGCGACTCAAAAGGCTAGTAATTCCATCACTGAACACAATTCTGATTTTCTTCTTTTCGCATACAAAGCACCTGAGCTTGGAGCTGGTTACTATAAATCTCGTCTTGATACCGTTAACTACTGATCCTATGCTACTTCACATCATTTGTCAGCTGTATAGGTGAAAACTCCAAAAATGTGATACTTGAAACAACGCCATAAGCTTCTTCGTTCAAAAGCTAAAAAAACTCTCCCGAATAGAAGTCCAATATCCATAAGAAATCTTGCCAAAAGCGCATATAAAAGGTTGCAGAATCAAAACTTGAAGAAGAGAAGGTTACCTATGCAGGCAGCTTCACGTTTTTCATTTGAATAGTCTATTGTAAGTTTGAAACTTGCAAGTGAAAAATAGTTTGATATCCATTTTTTGTGCTGACACATTTAAACTTATGTTGGTAGTAGTGCAAATGCGCCTTTACGCGCTTAAATGATAAGTTTGAGGTTAACTTTGAAATGATATCAATCAAGCGAAAAGACCAATTCAAAAGTAAAAGCGGAAGTATAAATTTATAAATTTGGAAAGGGTAGCAACTTT